GAGGTAAGCATCATTTATACGTGCTCATTATTTTTATGACCATTAATTCAAAATCACAGAAAAGGAATATTGTGGGCGTTCTCTCAGCGGTCTTCTGTTACACCCATGCTTTTCAAAGATACTTCTTCCTCATAGACAGAATCTTGACCCCGTTGCTATCAATGGAAGAGCTGTTTTTTCCCATAATACCATCAGATATCAATATACTAGAATCAGGGTATGTTTCTGTGGTCACTTTACATGAGGCAAAGTTTAGCAGCAGAAAATGCAGTCAACTGTGAGTGAAGCAAGAATATTGCAGTCTAACGTGTGTATGTGTGTGTGTGATAATAACATGTGGAGGGGAGGGTGCCAATTGGAAACCAGCAGGGTGGCAAACCTATTGTACTGCAGTAGGGTATGTGGGAGCCTCCAGGCCTTTATGGTGATTGGTGACACACTAGAGGTATACTTAAATTGCCTTTTTTATTGGTTCTCAAGTATTCTGTATTAAAATACAATCCTTTGGAAGAAATGAGGAGAATCCTCATATTCTCTTCAAAAATAAATCTGACCCCCTCCAAAAATGGATTTTGAGATACGTTCCACTGAAATATGTGGAGAAGCTTTGTTATCCTATCAATTTTTATGTTTTAACTTTCAACTTTTAAATCCATAGTAAGATTTGGCAACAACAGAGTAGAATTTGAAGTAAGAGGGTTGTTTGTTTTTTCTGCTTTGTTGTCGCCCACCTCACCACCAATCATTTCATCTCTTATCCTTGAGGGGATACATTTATGCGGAATGTATTGCGGGTGAACATGTATAAGACAATGCACCAAGGAAAAAGTCTAAAATAAAAGAAAAATATGAAAGGAAATTAAAAGGGTTCTGAAACTGCTTGGCAAACCAGATTCAAGCTATTATGACCATCTTCTGGTTAAAAAGTCAGCTATATCTGACTTTTCATAGTAATATTAATAAGCATATGCCACACAGAACAAGGCCAAGTATAAGTCCGATGGACTGTATATTTAAAATATTTCTATCAGCAGAGGGAAGGACTATATGCTTTACTTGTTAACTATTTTCCTTCAACAACCCAGTGATTTAGATTGTATCAGATTGACTAGCCTCAGTTCACTCAGTTAGAGCTGCAGGCCAAATACCTGATTGAAGAGGGAACCACAGGTGTCAGGTGAAATGAATTGCTGAGGCTGAAATATCTGTCTAGAAGGAAGAATATTTTAGGGCCTGATGCAGCTTAGGTTAAGAGGTAGGCTGACCATAAGCTCTGCTGACCATACCCAAGCATTCACCAGCATAGTAACCAGCTTTACAGATCCTAGTCTGATTGGTTGGTTGAAGGCCCAGAGAATTGATGGTAGGGGTGTAAGGTGCAGAAAACTGTCCCCTGGAGTCCTGGGTTCAAGATACTGCTTGGTGCATTTCAACCAGTTTCTTGTATCCTCTTTTGCATTCATTGTATGTCACTAAATGCTCGCTTATAACGCAACGTTAAGAGTTAGAAATGAGTTCAAATACAAGGCACAGGTTGCAGACTTTTTCTTCATTCTCACTGGCTTTCTCTTCATCCAGTATCTTACGTTTATTCCATCAGCTATTTCCTCTGAATCTCTCATTACTTGTTTTGGTTAATTAATGAATTGATTAATGTGTTTATATCATGTCTTCCTTAGCGTTCTGAGGCATACTCATTCATGCGCTGGATAAATCTGCTCGCTTTCAGCGCATTGTTGTGCTTTCAGATAGTACTCAAAGCAGGCAAATGAAGTGGATTTTAGCCTTCCTCTGGACTGAAAGAATGCCAACTACCTATCAAGGTTTTTTAAAAGTTATGTCAATATTGCTTTTTTCTGTTTGCCTGATTTTATTGATTTTGTTTGAATAAATTTCTGTAGCGTCCAATATAAAAAACTCTCACACCGTTCACCAAGCAGAGGTAAAAGCAAAAGAATATTTGGTATATCCACAGCAAGGAGTAAAGCTATGACCTATTTAATATGGCTGATTGTGTAAGTCCAAAATGGTGGCAAGTATCTACACTATCTAGATAGCAAGTATCTAAATATAGATAACTAGCAACCACCTAAGCATCTGTTTGAGCACCTGTCTAAACCACAATTCATGCAGAAGTAGAAGTTGAGGAATCATAGTTCTGTGAAGAGCTATCCTTGAATTGAATATCCATGTTTGTGAGACTCCCCTTATGGTACATATTAGGACTGCCTGGCTGTTAATCAGTGAGTGAGCTGTCCCTGTATAATATGCAAACCCCTTACCTTATCTTACAGATTTCTGGGGGATATTGCAAGTACCTTCTCAGATAGATCATTTGGAACACTCAGAAGGTGAATACATGTTTATATTTTAAGCAAAAATATATTTTCTCTTGTTCCAATTTTTACACACATGTGCATGTGTGTCTGCATGCGCGTGCATGCATGCACTTGTAGCATGTATGCTTATTCTGTACAAAGAAAATATCCTTCTTCCCAAGTGTTGGATACCTTGAGTATATCTAGATATATAATGTGCAAACAGTTCTGCGGGCACAAATATGAAAGTGAATTTGAAGGCTAGCAGTAAATATTGAGCCTCTACAGAAAAAAGCAGTATGGAATAAAATCTGCAAGCTCTCCACACAGCATATGAATATGTTTTATTTAAAATTGGTTTGCAGCTTGTCTTTCAATTATTTTTTTTCTGAACAAACATATTCATTATGCTCAGCATTCAGAAAATCCTGTTTTCCATGTAATCAATAAATGTTAACAGCATATTTCTTCACGAACTTTCTATTTCTGGAGAAGCTACAGACTAGTAATCAACCGCCTGGACATGTGGCAACTTTTAATTGTACTTTATTTTGGTTTCCAGTATCCCTGCCTGAAGAAGAACATTTGTTTGGGAGCTTGCATACTATATTTTTAACCATCAGGTGGTATGGTGAAAGATAATCTATATTTTGTATCATATTCTTCATTCTTCCCTTCCACGTGGGAACAAAAGACACAGCCAAGAGGAACTACAAAGAAATCACTTCAGACTTTGAAGCTCTAGGAAAGAAATCTGAAGACTCTGAAGCCCAGACATATTCCTGTCCATCCTACCAGTACTCAGAAAAGGAATAGAAAGGGAATTTATTTTATTTATTTATTTGGCTTTTACACCGCTCATCTAGATTCTAAACAAATCTACTCTGGGCAACTTACAGTCTGAGCAATATAAAACCAAGAATTAAAACCAATATCCAAAGAGAGAGAGAGAGAGAGAGAGAGATGAGCAAAGTCAGGATGGTAAAACACAGGAAGCTAAGTGATGGAAGGGGGGAAGGCCTGCTTGAAGAGCCAAGTCTTCAGTTTGTTCTTGAAAACTCCCAGCGAGAGTGCCAGGTAAATCTCAGGGATAAGATGTTCCAGAGGCGAGGGGCCACTGCCAAGAAGGCCGAGTTTCTAGTTCTCTCTTTCCAGGCCTCTCTCATGGTCAAGCCCCTCAGCCGCCTAGCCCGGCTAGATTGAGTGACACGAGTAGAGCTAGGTAGGAGCAGGCGTTTTGCCAGGTATCGAGGTCCTAAAACGTTTAGGGCTTTATATGTAAGCATTAATACCTTACATATGGGGGAACGAATGGGCAACCAGTGTAAGGCCACCAGAGTGGGGGAAATGTGATTTTTTTTCACCCCGGTTAATAGTCTGGCAGACATGTTCTGGACCATTTGTAGTTTCTGCATCAGTCTCAAGGGCAGTCCCATGTAGAGCACATTCGTTTGTCATTTAGTCATTTAGTCGTGTCCGACTCTTCGTGACCCCATGGACCAGAGCACGCCAGGCCCTCCTATCTTCTACTGCCTCCCGGAGTTGTGTCAAATTCATGTTGGTTGCTTCGCAGACACTGTCCAGCCATCTCATCCTCGGTCGTCCCCTTCTCCTTTTGCCGTCACACTTTCCTAACATCAGGGTCTTTTCCAGGGAGT